CATTAAAAGTATCTTTTTCCCTTCTAATAATAATTCTATTGCAATATATCTTCCTTTAGAGTCTGCTTCAATTATTTCAGCCTTCATATCCTTTTTTAGGTATATAACTATACCATTTTTTTTCTCTGAGGCGGAGGCCACGAAATGTTGTCCAAGTCTTGCATTCATCAAATATTTCTGGCCATTTGTTCTAATATGTGTTTCTTGCAGGCAAATTACATCATTTTTGAATTGTTTCAAATAGTGGTTTATTGTTTTTCCTTTTCTGTGGTGAATTTAAGCCATTGACATTCCAAGTTAAAAATTTAATTGTCATCTTTAGCACCCTGAAGCTCTTTAAGAGCCACCTGGAAATCCTGTAATTTGATTTTCGGCCTGGCTCCTCCCACCACTTCTGAGCTAATATTTATGGTTTCTTGAGCCGTTGGCTGGGCTTGTTGCATCTTAAGTTCTTGTTCCTTACATCTGGTAGCCTCTCGGGTTTGTCTTTGCTCCTTGGCTCCTAACTCCGCCAGAGGATTCAGAACTTGGGCCACCTCCAATGATCCTTGGATACCTTGCTGTCTGGCCTCTCCTGCTTGCTCCCTTTCTCTAGATCCTGGAGATGAGGGATGACCAGCCTTTAGTACATTGCTGTAAAAATCTCTGGCCATCCAAACTGAGTTAAGACGGTGTCTTTGTCCCAGGTAATTGACCACTAATCCAGCTGGAGCTTCCCATCTGTATTGTAGCTGGCGGTTTTTGAGTTCGTCCACTAGGAATGCATAGTCTTTCCTGGATCTCAGCATTTTGGGTGGGATTTCCTTCAAAACTATCACCTCCTGGCCCACAATCTGCAACTTGGTTTTATAGGACTCTTGTAGTATCAGGTTCCTCATATTCCTTCTGGCAAAGTAGACTACAATGTCTCTTGGGAGTTGTTTCTGTCTGGCGATCCATGAGTTAACGCGGTATATTTTGTCTATTTGCCAGTCATAGTCTCTTCTTGGATGACCTACTAATTGATCAAAGGCTTCTGAAAAAATCTTCAGGTTTTCTTGATTATTCTCTTTAAGAAGCTTAACAAGCTGCTTGTTTCAGATTATCCAAGGTTAACTACACTTGCCCTCTAACTGCTTAGAAGCTCCAACTCTGAGGGAGGCAAGGAGGATCCATTTTCCTTACAGCATCCTAGGGTTGGAAATGACTTCAAGACCATCGAGTCCAACCCCCTGCCCAGCT